CAATAATCCCACAATCTTAAAAATAAAAACTTTGTTGACTTTGGCATTTTTGAAGAGGTTGGGCCATAGGTTTTACAAAAAGTCGCTGAATTTGAACTTGTCTCAATGCTTCATTCCATGTAGAATTAGGTTAAATATGTTATGGAGAAGAAAGACTTAAAGGAGATTATAACCTTCTCAGAGCATAATATCTGAAGTCAGGTGTCTCATTTTTGGAGTTCTTAACATTGATCACTTGATTAAGATGGTAGGTGCTAGCTTTCTCCATTGTCAGGATACTGTTCTTCTTATTGATAAATAATCTCAGTGCTGTTGTTTAGGATTGAAAGTTCTGTTTCCTGTCTTTCACCATATATGTCAACCTCCATTCGTGATTCTTGTTCATCTCACTTCTAAAGGGGGGTGCAGGTGATACTATTTACCACTTTCACATTAGAAAGATAAAACTCAGGGTTTCCCTGGTAGCGCAAGGGGTTGAGTCTCAGCACTACCAAGCTATCACCAGCCACTGGGGCATGAGCTCAATCCCTGGCCAGGGAAGTGACCCACATGGCACAGCAGACCTCCCCCCTCTCGCCCTCTGATCCCCTCAGCAGTGTATTTCAGTCAATCCTCCTATTCTGCTCTCCACTCTGTCTCTCGTGAATCCTCTAACCTCCATACCTCTGGCCTGTACCCTAGTTCTTGTGTGCATAACTAAATAAAATAAATCTTAAAAAAAAAAAAAAAAGATAGGGCCCTCCCTGGTGGCGCAATGGATTAGGACACAGCACTGCAAGCTAGCTGCCGCCCCTTCAGTGCGAGTTCAATCCCTTGCCCCGGAGGTGACCCAAATGGCGCGGCAGACCTCTCCTGACCCACCTGCTGCTCCCCTCAGCAGTGGACTTCGACGATCTGCCTGTTCTGCTCCCCGCTCTGTCTCTGGTGAAGCCTATCACCACCCCTGCACCTCTGGCTTGTGCCCCAGTTCTGTATGCATAAATAAATAAAACTTTCAACGACAAAAAAAGATAAACTCAAAAAGAGACCTGACCAGGTTTCACATACTGGCCATCCCGTGGTGGCCACGTCAGTCTGAGAATCTCCTGAATTATTTCACAGTGGTTTCTATTTTAGAAGCCACTCATTCTTTACTGCCCACCTCCACCCCCACGCCCCAATATTTGTGTGCAGGCATTTGTTTCAGGAATCACCAATTTCTGTTGGCCTTACCCAGTTCTTGGGTGGAATTCTCTAGAAGCAGAGCCTGAGACAAGATTCTCCTGTTGTAGCTTATTTAATTAATGAATACCATTGTTTTACATCCTTGTAATATATTGGCAATATAGGGCCCCCCCTTCGTGCTCACATAGCTCTCCCACTCCCAAAACACCCATAGTCCTCCAGTGTAGTCTGTTGTGCTCGCCAACCTCCCCACCTCCTCCCTGTTGTCATCCTTTCTGCTCCCTTCCCATCTGCTCTTGGATACCTTAAATACATGGTTAGTCCACCTTCCCGCCTGCAAGATAATAGAGTTCTTTTTACTCCACCCCCTTGCCTGAATTTGTTTCTGGGTTTTTGTTTTTTTTTTTTTTAATGTAGGCCATTTTCACTGGTGTCAGGTACATCTCATTGTAGTTTCAATTTCTGTTCCCTTGATGCTAAGTGACACTGAACTGTTGGTCATCTGTAGGTCTTATTTGAAGAAGTGCCTATTTAGCTGTTCTGTCCATTCATTGATTGGGTTGTTTGTTTTCTTTTTGTTGAATTGTATGAACTCTTTGTAGATCTTTGATAGCAATCCCCTGTCGGATGATGTGCAAATATTTTCTCTCATTCAGTGGGATGTCTCTGTTTTGATTACTGTCTCTTTCATTGAACAGAAGCTTCTCAGTTTGATGTAGTCCCAGTTGTTTGTATTTTCCTTTCCTTTGTTTGCTACTGGGGACAAATCTGCAAAGATACTTCTGAAGTTTATGTCATGGAGTATTTTACCTATTTTTTCCCCTAGGTGTTTTATGGTTTCAGGCTTTACATTCATGTCTTTTATCCACTTTGAGGTGATTTTATATTTTTATTATGTTGTGAATGGTGGCCTGGGTTCATTATTTTGGAAGTTGGCATCATTTACTGAAGAGACTGTCATAGTTCCAGAGCATATGTTCATTCCTTTGTCATAGATGAGTTGTCCATATACATGTGGGGATTTTTTCTGGGCTTTCAATTTTATTCCTTTGGACTGTGTTTGCCTTTGTTCCAGTATAATTCCATTGTAATTATTATAGCTTTATAGTATAGTTTGAAATGTAATACCACTATTTTCCCCCTTTTTTGTCAGGAAAGCTTTGCTATTTAGGGGCTTTTGTGTTTCCATATAAATTTCAGTAATATTTCTTCCATTTTGGGGAAGAATGCCATTGAGACTTTTATTGGGATTTCAGTGAATCTATAAATCAACCCATAAGCAGGGAATGTCTTTGCATTTCTTTGCATCTTCTATTTCTTTTAGCAATACTTATAGCCTATAAAGGAGAGAGAAATATGTGATGGGGTGGAGAAAGGAAGCCAGGGAAAGCTACATGGCAGCTGAATTCTAGAGCCAACTTGATTCCATACGGAGCTCTGAAGTGTGAACAGCACCTGACGGTGGCCCCATCTTGAGGTAGAGGAGTACATCATTAGCAGTGGCTCCGCTCCTAGGGAAAGGCATAACTTCCTGGACATGTGCAAGAAGAACTACAAGTTTTGTATTTCCCTCATTAGTTTTTTCCTGAGGGCTGTCCCTGGTCAAAGCCCATTTATCTTATAACATGCTATAAACCTCAAATGACTGATTGAATAAAGGCGTTAGCTTAGTCATTTTAAAAGACAAGGTCTAATTTATGGTTGTTCCTTTATGAGGTCCATGAGTCCTACTCACCGTCTTCCTGTCTGGGCTCTGACTTTTAAAGCTGAGATCAGTTGGCAGAACAAAGATTTTTCAGCTTCTTGAAAAAACAGTGGTGTCACAGGATGTGCCCTTCTAAGGAAAGAAGAGGTGTCAATATATTTATTTTCAAATGCACATGAGTGTGAGGATTGCCATGTTGGAAACTGTGTTTGGTCTTGGTAAATTGTCACAACCTGAGGTGGCAGGAATGAGTGTTTATTTATTTCAGTTTTGAGAATTTTTGCTGTGGCATGTAACCCATCCCACTCCTCAAGTACCAAACCACTAGTTGGATCTGAGTCCGAGTATTCATTTTGCTCCTAAGTTTCATGCAAATTCTCCTTAAACTGGCAGCTTCAGAGACTGGTAGGAGTACATTTTCCGACCCACCTGAGAACTCCAGAATCAGCCTCTGGGGCTGAAACCAGGCTCTGAGATTTAACAACCCACAGATAATTTCTCACACAGACTTCAGTGCTGATCCAAAACAGTGGTTGTAAATTTGCACACTAGGATTGCCTGGGGAACTTTAAAAAACTGATGCCTGTGGCTAACCCCAAATTGACTTATTTGATCTGGAGTGCTGTCTGATCATCAAAACACTTTTAAACTCTCTAGAAATTTTGATGAGGAGTCAGGGTTTAGAATCATTGGTCTAACGTTGCCTTTTCTAACTCTATGGAAAAGGAATGTTAACACTAGCTTCATTTTGTAGAGTTGTTCTCTAACTGCAACGATTCTCTTCCAAATACCTGGAGGACCTGGGAAAGGCATTTGCAGAATGTTCTTTTTGGCACAGACTCTCCCATCTGGAAATTTGTAGCAGAATGAATGGAATACTTTGACATATTATAGGGGAAATGAAAGGTAGATGTACAGTGGGAGTTCTTTGGATCTGTACAATGTCAAGAAGGTATGGGTGGAAGTTAGAATGGGACTCTGAGCAGCACACATGTTATCCTTATGGATGCTCTTACTGAGTCTTCAGAAAAGGGCCTCACTATTGATGCTAGACTACATAGATACACTATCCCACATTCATGGCTTTATGTGTTACCTACAAACTTGGATGAACACAGAGCTCTTGAATTTTTACTTCCACCATTTCATAGCTATTTGTAATTCTGAACATCTCAGTAACTTTTTGTGCCTCGGTTTCCTCTTTGTTAAGTGGAAATTACTCAAAAATTGTGTTAGTATTGATTGGTTTCAAAAGCAGCCAATTATTTTATTGAATCATCATTTATATACCATACCATTGAAACTTTTAAAGTGTACACGTCAGTGATTTTTTTTTTTTCACTTTGGGATTTTTGTGGTGTTGTACAGCCATGCTCAAATCTCATTCCAGAATATTTTCATGACTTCATAAAGAAAACTGCCTACTATTAGCAATCACTACTCATCCTGAGCTCCTCCCCATTACCAAACAACCACTAATCTTTCCATCTCTGTATTTTTGTCTACTGTAGATGCTTCATATAAGTGGAGCTATACAATCTGTGTCCTCTTCTATCTCTTCTTTCTCTGTTGTCAAAATTCAATCTAAAGAACAGACTAGTACTTCATTCACAAAAAGGATGAGTGAATGTTATGACTGAATAAAACTTCAGTGGATGGTTGTACCATATTTTATTTCTCCAGATTCATTAGTTGTTGGATAACTTAAGCTCTTTCTAATAATATCAAAATAATTTTATGGACAATGTACCACCATTCTAATGTAAGGTATATTTATAATGTTAGTAATAAAAATGTTTTGATATGTGAGGAAAAATGAAAACCAATTTATGTGGGTACAAAAGAGTGTATGTATGAGCTAATGTGAATTGAAAGCTGGGTTAGAAATAGAAGGTTGAGTCTGTTGAATACCATTATACTCCCTTTAAAATTAGAGATTGGGAATGTACCATATAACATGATCTCTGCCTTCAGAAAGCTTTCATTTGGTAGGCAAAAGCAAAATGTGGTTATGATCTCAAGATGGAATATGTGCTTTAATAAACCTATGCTATGAGATTGTTTGATTGTCTCCTTGATAGGGAAATTGTGCCACAGCCATATGATCTGTGCCATATGATCTCTCTCTTAGCATGGTGAGACACAAGGATGATGGGTATTCTGAGGAAAAGGATGTGAAGACCTGCCCCCGGGACTCTGGCTATGACAGTTTATCCAACAGGCTCAGCATTTTGGACCGACTTCTCCACACCCATCCCATATGGCTGCAGCTGAGTCTGAGTGAGGAGGAAGCTGCACAAGTTCTACAGTCCCAGCCTCCAGGGGTAAGACTCAGAACCACAAAGAAATAGGTTGAGGCAGGCAGGGCTGCTACTTCCTTAAAGAGAAAGACTGGAGTTCCAGAAGATTCTTCCCAGTCTATAGGGAGCGTGGTTCTCAATGTGTATGTAGGTTGCAGTATAGGGATTCTGGAAACTATAGTGGCTCAGAATCAGAACCACTCACAATTTGTCTGCCTTCTTCTTGGTTATCACACAAAGTCCAGAACTCAGCAAGATTATAGACCTCTGGGTAATGAGGAAGCACCACTGACCGGAGATCCTGGCATGACTTCTTGATACGCGGCATTGAGGATGAACTTGGTTGTAGAATCTTTGGTTAGCTCTGTTGTTTTCTTTTCAGCTTCAGCCTGGAACTCTCTAAGAATAGCCATGCAACATGGGAACCCAACCCAACCTTCAAAAGTTCTATTTCCGTGTAATTGTCTGCTCTGTCAATGGAATCCACTTTTACCTGTGCTTTCTCAATGGATTTTTTACATTGGTCATATTGAGTATCTTCAACCATTGCTTACTTAAGACCAGTCTCATCTTAGTCAAGACCACACCACAAGTCTATAGAAGTTCCTCAAAAAAAAAGTGTTATTTCGTGATTAGTATATCTTGTGTTATCAATAGGGTAGCCACTTGTCCTATGTATCTAGCAAGTTTATATTAATAAAATTTGAAATTTAGTTATTTACCTGCATTAACCAAAGGTTTCTCTGACTGGTGACTACAATTTTGGATAGCACAGAATATGGAATATTTCCATCATCATAAAAAGTTCTATTGGGTAGTACTTGTGAACAATATCTATTTCAAAATATAGGATAAATGGAAATAAATCACAAATGAAGTGAGACTTGAAATAACATTCAACAAGAGAGAGAAACTGTGAATAGAGGCAAGGAGAAAATTCTATCAGTAGCTAACAAATTTTGCAACAACTGGGCATGAAAATAAACTTTTGAGTTTCCTATCAGCCAGAGCATGTCTGTTATCGCTTGTTGACTTATAAGTGAGTCTTTGTTTCTCCTATGACAGAAATAGACAAGACTAGAACCTCTGTTGGAACTTGCTCGGGGTGACTGTGCACAGTATTTGATCATTTTTGTGATGAGTTCCTTGGCCAACACACTGAGTTTTTGCCTGTGTTTTGGGTCTGTATGAGAGGATTCTCTTCTGTGAGCTCCCCACTTTTATAGGTTGATTGTCTACTACTGCATTTTCTTCAAAGAATCCTGAAGAGCAAGATTGTTGTGTGGCTAGACAGCAGCTCCCCTCCCTGCCTGGCTTCCCTCCTGGCACTGGGCACATTCACTCCTTGCGAAAACCAATGGAGGGATATTGTCTCTACCTGCCTGACTCCTGGACTGGACTTGACTGACAAGATAGGGCATGCTGAGGGTGGGGCAAGAACAGGGGTCAGGAGAGGGCAGGATGGATCCAGAAGAGAGACAGTGCTGCAGAGAAGGAAAAGGAGGTGGCTGAAAGTGTGTGAAGAAGGGACATCTGAAAGGCCATTCCTGGTGGCTTGGGTTTTTGAGGGTGCCACCACCTTAATTAATCTACACCTAGACAGGGCTCAGCAAACACTCTCTCAAGGGACAGAGGGTAAATATTTTTGGCTTTGGGAGCCGTGCAGTCTCTGTTTCAACTGCTCAGCTCTGCTATTATAGTACAAACATATCCTAACAAGCACATTGTCATACAGCACAGCTCATTCATTTAAAAAACAAACAAACAAAAAACACCTTTATTTACAAAAAAAAGTGGCAGGGTGGATTTGATCTGCAGGTCATACTTTGCTAGTCTCTGATCTGAGCAGCAAACATTTAGGAGATAAGTAATAGAGGTCATACTCCCGCTGACCCTAGAGGCTCAAGGAGATAACAACCTGCATAAGGGAGTAATATTTTTTTAAAGTCAACCAAGAGTTGCTTCCCAGCAGAGCTTTGTGCATTTACCTATCAGGACTATTTTGGAAGCATCCGCTTCAGTTTTAGGTATCCCACCAACACTGACCCCCCCAAACTTGCCACTAGATGAATTCCATGACTGCCTCCCATGGGTGCTGGCAATAAAGGAGGGAAAAAAGAGGAAACCCAAAAGTCCTTTGTTTCATTCCTAATAAGATTACCACTTCTCATTACCCTTAGTCCCCACCCCCAAACAAGTTTGTAGGAGACATCAGAGAGAAACGTGGATTAGGTGAAAAAACTACAGATAGATAGGGGAGGGGAGAGCAAGGTGTCTCATTACAGATGACAGAAAAGCAGTTGCATAGGGCCTCTCTGGTGGTGCAGGGATTAAGTCTCAGCACAATGAGGCTACTGGCAGCCACTGCAGCACGAGTTCCATCCCCAGCCAGGGAGGTGACCCGCATGGCGCAACAGACCTCTCTTGTCTCACCTGCTGCTCCCGTCAGCAGTGTATTTCAATCAATCTATCTGTTCTGCTCCCCACTCTGTCTCTGGTGAATCATCTCACCCCCACACCTCTGCCTGTACCCCAGTTCTTGTATGCATCACTGTGGCTGCTGCACCACACACTGCTGGGAGTGCTGTTCAGCTTGCCATCTAGGCAGTGATACTCCGTGGACTGGACTGTGAGTCCAGAATGGTGTGCTGAGGTCAGCAGTAGAAAGTGAGCTGATTTGAAATGTGTCCCCAAGTAATCTTAGGGCCTGAAGGGATTTGTCAGAAAGAGAAGCGTGTTAGCTGTATACAGACCTCCAGCCTTGGTGTTGATGTGGTGAACCTCAGAGCACTTGTGTCTGTCTCTCAAATGCAGCAACCACTTCTCAGCTCCAGAAAATTGTTTCCAGGCCTGACTGTGCCTTAGCACCTTATCTTCCAAGAAAGAAAAGCTTAAAAGTCAGATTTTAATGTTTAAGAAAAAAACTTACATTTTTTTTTCACTATAGGCAATAAATGCAAATTTCTATCTTAAATATACCCACGTCATGTTAGTCAGTGAATTCCCAGTTCACTACCTGTGGTATAGTCATGTTACCTGTGTTTTCAATATAAGTTTCATCAGTCATGACGCCCATGGAAGACAGTGGGTGGAGGGAATGTGACAGGAGCTGTGAAACCAGTCACCAAACTGAAAATGCTTTTGAGATTGTGGGAGCTCTTACTGTCATGGAGAAAGTCTGTCAGAGGGAAAGTCAGGTTCCTTTTGAGCCAGTTGTCAAAGGAGGCTTCTGTGGCTGCGTGCAGCTTACCTTCTCTGGCAAGCCAGTGCCCCCACTGAGCCTTGCTGTTCAGTTATGACAGGGACCCTTCCCTGAGTACTGGGTGTTTGCATATCATATGTCCAGGTTTCTAAGTTTGATATTTCCTAAACTTTAATATCTTTTCCCTCTACTAGATGTTCCTGGTTCGTAAATCTACCAAAATGCAGAAGAAAGTCCTCTCCCTTCGCCTGCCCTGTGAATTTGGAACCCCACTTAAGGAATTTGCCATAAAGGAAAGCACATACAGTAAGTAGAAGTTGGCGCCTTAGACTCTGATTATGTGAGGACCTCGGGTTTCCCTAGCAGGAGGGAATGGAACAAGTCTATCTTCTGAGACAGGTTTGGGTCTGAGTCTGGGCATGTTTCTTGTTCACTGAATGGCTTGCCGGGTTGCCTACCTTTGCATCCTCAGTTTTCCTTGCATAATGGGGTAATAGTGACCTCAGCGAGTTGTTAGCAATTTTATTAAACAAACCTGTGCTGGTGTTGGCAGCCCAGGGCTTGGCATATTGTGTGACACTAATAGAGGTGGCTTCTTCACCCCTTCCTGGTGAAGTGGAGCGTGGCTTCCAGATTTGCTGATGAGTTAGCTGCAGGGGAGGCTGCTGCAATCCAGCCTCTCCTTGGGACCTGATGATAATGCCTGTATCTGCACATCTTTGTGGATAATCCTTGAGTGGATGTTTTCCCTCCAGGCAATCACTATTTAGTCTTTTATGAAATGCAGCTAATCCAAGGCTAAAGTTTTAAAGGGAGCGTGGTCCTTGTTCAATAATGTTGACTCTACTATCCTGTGGTCACTGGAAATGTGGTCTCAGGGGTGGGTTTGGGAGGGGGCAGGTTTTATTTTTATTTATTTATTTTTAAAGATTTTATTTATTTATTCATACAGAAATGGGGTACAGGCCAGAGGTACAGGGGTGATGAGAGGATTCACCAGAGACAGAGTGGGGAGCAGAGCAGGCCGACTGATGAAGTGCACTGCTGAGGGGAGCAGCATGTGGGTCACCTCCGGGGCAGGTGGGGATCGAACCCATGTGAAAGTGGCTTTAGGTTCTTAGTGCTGTTCTTCAACCCGCTGTACCACCAGGGAAGGCCCGGGGGCAGGTTTTAAATTAAAAAACAAAACAGAAAAAACCACACAGTTCATATAGACTGCTAGATTTCAAGAAAGGATGGGAAGATGACTCTGCACCCCACAGGGAGAGACTGTTAAAATCACAGCTTAGCAGGCTGTGGTGTGAAGGCCATGGGAAGTGAGTTTGGAAGTTCGTCAACTGTCTCAGCAGCAAGACTGAGACCAGGATTCTCATGCTTCCTGATTTCAATCTAAACAAGCCTCAGTTCTTGCATTTGGAGAAGCTGAAAGTATTGAGAATACTTTAGGGGTAGATAGATAGGTGGTTATACTCAGGCTGGAGTAAAAAGTTTTGCTGAGCCAAATGGTCTTTAATAAAATCTGGAGAAGACACTTCCCACAGGGGTGAAAACAGTCAGGCCCTCAATTTGGTTGTAAACACCTGTCATGAAATGTTCCTCTTTCGAGTCTCCTAAGGTCTTAGACTCCACTTGCTAAAACATAGGAACAGTCAATGAATCTGACCAGTGAATCTGACCAGTGATTTACACCAGTTTATTTATATTTGGAGGAACCGGAAGATAGATTGGAAAGCCGCCATCTTAAAGATAATGAATTAGACATTAAGTGAAAAAAAGACAGTTCTGAGTTGGCTTTTGAAAGCCTGCTAGCCAAGAAGTGACAGATCTAACTGGTTTTGTTTTTATTTTTTTAAAGATTTATTTATTTATTCATACAGAACTGGGGTACAGGCCAGAGATGTGGAGGGTGATAGGATTCACCAGAGACAGCGGGGAGCATAACAGGCAGATCGACGAAGTACACTGCTGAGGGAAGCAGCAGGCGGGTCAGGAGAGGTCTGCCGCTCCATGTGGTCACCTCCCGGGCAGGCGGGGATCGATCTCATACAGAAGTGGCTTAAGCTTCTCAGTGCTGTGCTTTAACCCGCTGCGCCACCAGGGAGGGCCCTCTAACTGGTTTTTAAGTGTCTTCTAATACCCTAAGTTAAACACAAATTAACCCCTTCCCCATAAGTAAAGTTAGTGTTGGTGAGTGCTTTCTTGGTATTTGCTGGTGACCTGTCCCTCGCACCCCTGTCTGAGGGATTTCGCTCCCTGTTTTGTCACAACCTCTCAATTCCCAAATCCTCTCCAGGTAAGTTAAGGTGGTTGAAAGCACTTTCCTAAGCAAAGCTTTAAACCTGACTCTAAGTAGTTTCTAAGAGCCGCAGTCTCTCCATGATGGCCCCTTCTGGGCCAGAAGCTGTCTTTTCTATGAATGGAGGTGGATTGGGAGAGAAAGGAATTGGTATAAAAAGAGATATTTACTCATAACATCTGAAGTCATATTTGTATACACTACTTTCACATAAATGTCCATATTTTAAAACTCCAGTTCCCATTACTGCCCCTCTAGGAGACAAGTACCATTATTGTCCATTTTACAGATGAAAAAAAAAAAAAGGTTTAGAAAAGTTAACCTACCCAAACTCAGCTCCTCCCTACTAAACTCATCATTTGTGGTACATATGTGTGTTTCTGTTTGTGTGTGTGTCTGTCTGTCCCTCATAATATATGTGTAGAGGCACATATACTAGGCTTGTGTGTGTGTCTGTCTGTCCCTCATAGTATATGTGTAGAGGTATGTGTTTGGGTATGCTATAGAGATACTAAATAAACAAGCTAATACAAAGTAAGAAAGAAGCAAAACATATGATGCATGGAGTGTTGCAAAAGAGGAAATACCTGCTTGAGGAAATGAAGAAATCTTCACAAAACTGGAATTTGGAATGTTTTGGAAAGAATGACAGCAAAGATCTTGTAAGAAGTGGTTGGCAAGTGCATCATTATTTCAGGTCCACTCACAGCTCCCCCTCTCAGCAAGAGGCACAAAATGGTACACCTTCTTGCCAGAACACTTGTTCTCGTTAGGAAACTTGTATACTCGGTGGTAGTTGTGGTGGGCATTCTAGGTACTGGTACTTGATACTGAATTGAACCAAAAGATGATTCATGAGAACCTTGTGTTATTCTCCAAGTATTTCATTCCTTCTGCTTGGTGCTCTTATTGGTAATTTTAGGAAAGAAAAATGTGACCCAGGAGGGCCAGACTACGAGGGTCAGAGGCAGTGCGGCCTCCTATTCCCCAGCCCTGCCATGTGCCTATGGTCTCCTGCTGCAGCCAGGCTGGTTTTTGAACCCTGCCCAACTTTGTGTCCTGAAATTTTAAAAAAATGGTTGTGCAATTCCAGTCTGAGCTGGTCTGTTTACCAAACACTGGAACATGTGCCTGAATGAGTCAGGAGCTGAACTCCCAGGCCATCAACTATTTACTGGGCTGTTTCTGACTTACATATGTCTCCTTAATAGCTGGCTCTATTAAGTGGCACGGTTTGTTTGAGACGGTTCTACACACAGGAGAGACAACAGGAGAGGCCACTTTCTTTCTCAGAACATGCTCAGAGACATTCAGCTGGTCTCCAAAATCTCTCTTTTCCAGCTTTTTCCCTGGAAGGCTCAGGAATCAGTTTTGCAGATTTATTCCGGCTCATTGCTTTTTACTGCATCAGCAGGTAAGGCTGTTTCATCTCTTATGATTTTCAAGGGTGTATATGGGCAATATGATCCATTTCAAAGCTTCTTAATTAAAAAAAGACAACAGGGTTGGGAGGTTTGCTGCCTGTAGTAGTCTTGGAAGGGACATAAGTAAAATGAAAATTTTATCTATTAATAAAATGACCACCATGCCATTGAAGAAATGAAAACTCTTTCCTGGCTCTAAGTTTCATGTTTAAAGTTTAAGGTCAAAACAACTACCCTGGCCTCATAAATGTAACTTCTCATGAATATACTTGTGTCTTCACACTGCTCCATTCACATAGAGCTGTCAAGTAAAGATGTGCACACAGATGCACATATGTGTACACACATGCACATCTCCATACATGTGCTCACACGTATCCATGTATATCCACACATGCACATACAGAAAAAGACCCATAATATCAGCCTGTAACACTGAGAACTCCTTGATGATATTTCTGAAGATTTGCCAAAGGATGCCATTTATTTTTAGAAACGTTGGTTCCTTCGATCAGTGATGAAGCCAGGGACTGAACTCACACTGAAGCAGCTGCTGCTCACTTGCAGTGCTGCATCCTAGCCTGTTGCGCCACCAGGGTGGGCCACTCATGCTCTTAAGTAAAGAGATCTTCTCAGTCCATGTGATGTAAGCTCAAAATCATGATGTGAACAAGTGTCAGGAAGGTGTGAGCTGTGGTAGGCTTGCTTTCTTTTATCTGTATTTTTTGTTTGTGCTTTCCAGACATAATAGCTTTCAAGTCAAGAGTTGCGCCCGTAATGGAGACTTCCATGTCTTTATGTACAGAATTTTTCGTTGCCTCCTTTCACTGCAGTGCCCTGTTGCCTGCCTGTGCTTTTCTCTCTGTTGTAGCTGACAGAGCCAAGACAAAGACATGCTAGACAAGGGCTGTTTCAAAGATGGCATCTCACGGTGTCACACTTTGGCTGAGGAGATTATTTGGGCTTGGGTTCTATTGTTTTAATTTTAAACTTAGGTTACTTCTCAAAAACTGAATAAGACATTCATAGTCCCTGTTGACTAGATTCTTCTGGGGTCAGGCACAAAGCTGCTTCATTCTTGGAGGTCACCTTATCAGCTAAAACCATACAGTCGATGACCTCAGGAAGGAAGGCACCTGCAGGGGAAACCCGGCACTTCTTACCAGCAGGAAGAGGCTGAACTTGACCAGCACCCTGTGAGCTCACCCCAGGGGATGCCACCTGCCTGAAACTGGCAGTTCCCTTGGCCTTTATAAAGAAATCCACTGCCCAGAGAAAGGAGGCAGGTGCAGAAAACCCTGACTGTTGCCAGGATCCACACCTGGTCTGTTTGCAGCCAGCCTGTCCCTGGGAGTCAATTTCAACACTAACATATTGGTCAGAGGTGAAGTCTGCCCTTGTTTACTCTTTGGCATCTGCCTGTTGGTCATTGTGCTATTGTTGTGAAAGATTTCTACATCCATAAACAGCATTTGGCAATAGCTCATAACAGATACCATCTCGCTCCTCAGTCTTCATAATAGACTGGAGTACCTGCTATCCAGAGCTGTTTGATGATTGGAGAAGATAAAGTACATAAAAGCCTTTAGTAAACTACAAAGCATGATACCAATAGAGGATGCTTATAGGAAAATACCAATGTTGACATTTTGTGATTTTGGAAGACCTGAGAGTCATTGTCCTTTTTTTCCCCAAGATGCAAAGTTTCTTGATTTTTTTTTAAAGATTTATTTATTAATGCATACAAGAGCAAGGTGTAGGCCAGCAGTGCAGGGGATGAGAGGATTCACCAGAGACAGAGTGAAGAGAAGAACAGGTGGATCTATTGAAATAGAGCAGTGTTCCGGAAAAGCACCATGTGGATTAGCTCCCTGTCTGGGTAACAAACTCGTGCTGTAGTGGCTGCAGATTGTTTTGTAGTGCTGAGACTTAACCCCTTGTGCCACCAGGGAGCCTCTTGATGATTTTGTTTCTCCTATTACATTATATCACTTGTTTACTGAAAGCTGTATTCTTAACTATCAGTCATAATCTGACCCAGTCTTAGTACATATTGATACACATATTCAGAAGGAGAAAGTGATTGGATTGTCAGTGTTCCCACATAATGCATGGGCACAAATACACAAGACTAGTGAATCGGTAGCTCAATTAATATATCATTTTCCATATCAGAAAAGCACAGCAAAAAGTATAGTTGAGAATACAATATTGATACTGACCTTCGCCACTCAAGCCTAGTCAAGGCATAGTTAATGAGCCCCGCCTTTCAAACTTTAATGTGTATGAGAATCACCTGGCTTCTTGGAGAATTCAGAATGCAGATTCCAATTCAGTGGGTCTGGGCTGGGGCCCAAGAAGAGTCTGCATTTCCAACAAGCTATTTTGGCCCATATTGCTGATCCCTGACCACACTTTGAATTAGAAGGGGCGAGGGGAAATGCTTATTTTCTGTATTTGTGCTAAACTGTGTAAATACAGTATGTCTAATTTTCATAGCAACCCTTCAATGAGTACCATGAAGGCACTGGCTCCAAAGAGTGTGATGCTTGTCCCTAATCATAATAAGCATTTATGGAATTTGAACTTTGGTCTTTCTTGTTGCCAAAGTCCATACTGTAGCACTATGCTATACAATTCCACAGGCTTTAGCATCCAACATACCTGATTCTACATCCCACATTAGCTCCATAAGTGGGTGCCGGTGACCTCCGCATCTATGTTGTCTTATGCTTCTGATCTTTGAAATTGTTACAGGCAGGGAGAGGGGCACTACTGAACCCCCAAACCTGCCTGCTCTAAATAGGTTCTGCCATTGCTGCATCAAGACAAAACATATAAGACTTTAATGAAAAGGAACTTTAATCCAGTAAGTATACAATAGGAAGACAAAGAATATAATTTCTATATCAAACACCTGCAGTTACCCATTAGGATAAAAGTCAACCCAAAAGGGATTCATCCAAAGCAAGGCCTGAAAGCCTGTTATAAGACTAAAGCACCTTCTGGCTGGCACCTATAGAAAAGGGTCAGAAATGGCCAGACAAGTCTGGGAAGAAAAGAGCACAATCAAAATCAATATAAGCTCTGCCACAGTCAACCTCCCTATGGGTCTCTCACCCACATCTCTTTCAGCCAGTCCAGGGCCAAAAAATAAACACAGTTTCTTCACATGTCTCCCTTTGCTCCATGTGGCTTCCTCAGGTCTCCTGGCTCTCCATCCTGCTTCCTTCAGCTTCAGATTCCTTCTCTTCCTTTTTCTCTTCTCAGCTCCACTCTACCTTTGGGTTATTCAGGAAACCTGGAACTTCCCCTTTTTCTGGGGATCACCTTGTTACAAAATGAGGAGCCTATGTCGGTCCACTTAAGTTCTTGGTGCAGTGCAACAGTAGATCTCAGTGTTAGTTGTCTTTCTTTTAAAAATATATGACATAGCACAAGCTTAAAAAGTAAAGCTAGACTGTGAATGTACTGAATGAAACTCTTGGGTGAACATTGATTCTTACTCTGTAACACAGGGTTTAGAATCAGAGCCCCTTTCTTTAACAGGATGTAGGTGAGAAGGAAGTGTGTGTGTTTGTGTGAGGAGATGCTACCTTGCACCCTTGGCTGACATAGCAAGCGAGGACTCATGCACAACATCTAATTTTCTAGTAGATCAAAGTCTAAAACTAGCCATTAAGGGAAGACAGGTGTGGTTTCCTGTCACATGTGTCATTAAGAAAATCTCAAACCAGCCATGTGATATTTAGGCTCCAGCACCGCTTTAGGCAAGGGAAAGATTTTAAATAAATACATGTTGGTTTCATGGTATATCCATGAGTGTTGTTGTATCTCTCCCCCACCCCCCACCCTCAACTTGCGTAAAAAAAAAAAGGTTTTAATTAGGTTGGTATAGTCAAAGAAAAATATTTCATAATGCTTGGACTTTACCAAGTTCTGATATCCACCCATTGAGCTTCATGTCAGATGATAATTGGGGTCACTGCCTCTCTGGGGTCAGGCAGTGGCAATTATCAACCCAGCCATCCCCTGCAGGTGATGGCTTCACCTGTTTCATCTAAAATAGATAGAAATCAACAAACAGAAGTAGACTTTTGTGACTATGGGGGTGGGGAGGGCAGGTGAAAGGGTATCTTGGAAGCAGAAGGTGACTCAGACTATGGGAAGGGAGGCGCCTCCTGCCCACCCTACTCCTAATATTTATATGGGCAGCCAAATCACAGCACTATGACACCATCACCTTTTATTCATGTTGTTTTCTTTTTATTGAACCTGCTAATTTGTTATTCATAGTCAACAGTTTCAAAGGTTCCAAAATTCTCTAGTCATCTAGATTTAATCTGATTCAATCTAGAATGTTACCTAATTTTAATATAAGCTACTACTAAGGGAATCTTGCCTTGAAACATACAGGAGAAGCTCCAAGTTTAGTCCCTCGCTCCAACACAGCCACGATGACTTTGCTATTCTTTTTTTTTTTTTTAATTGGTGTAGAAGAACTGGGATATAGGCCAGAGGTGCCAAGGCATGAGAAGATTCGTGAGAGAGAGTGGGGAGCAGAACAGGCAGATCCACTGAAATACACTGCTGAGGGGAGTAGCAGTGAGACAGGAGAGGTCTGCCATGCCGTGTGAGTCAGCTCTCTGACCAGGGATTGAACTCAGGCTGCACAGGTGATAGTGCTGAGTCTTAACCTTTCAGCCACCAGGGAGGTGCTCATTCTTGCTGTTCTTTCCCATGTCAGACCCTCTCCTACCCCAGTGTACCTGTTCTGCCTCCGCCTGAACTGTTCTTCCCCTCATGGTTTACTCCCCAGACACCTTTAGATCTTCAAAGGCTACATATTCTTGGGACTTACCCTGGCCGACTCTTTCATTTGAATGCTGTTTATTCCCATTTCATTTTTGGATCCATAGTGCACACCCCCTCTTAATAGTCCCTGAATTGCTGTATTGTCCATTGTCCTTTGGTGTCACTTCACACAGGCAGGGACATCTGTCTCTTGTTCCACCACCTGAAACAGTGTGAGAATATTATAGATGACGGTAAACATAATGAATGAATGAATAACTCTGTTTTTGTAAGATCAGTACACCACTGAGAAAATAACTCCCTTTCCTTTTAGTCACTGCTATTCTTGATCATTCTTTCACTTATTCCAAGCACACATTCTCCCTGTCTGTCTTAGGCAAGTTCTAAGGGAACTCACTAGTGCTTGGAGCATGGTATTAACCCATGTATATGAAACTAGACAAGTGTCTAACTCTGCCTTTGCCCTTTCTGAGAAAGCGGTAAGTCATGGGCCTTGCACTTTACAGTGGTTTCTATGCGTTAGTTGTACCAGTTCATCTCCATCTTATTGAGTCTTTTGCTTTGTGCTGCTTCCTACAAATGGCAGTATGCTGCTTGGGGGGCCGGGTCATTGCTCAAGGCCCTGTACATTTGCCATCCTACTCAAAGCATACTCCAGGGGCAGCAGCTTAGTATCCAGAATTCAGAATTCCTAAGTCAGTGTGCAGCATGACAAGAGCTGGGCAGGATGAGCATGGTAATTCATATGCACATTAAGAGACACACAGGCTTAACATAGGAAGTCGTTTTTGTCTTGAACACACGAATGGTAATTCTTGGAGTCTAGCTGGAAGATGTTACAAAGTAAATCCAATGGATGTTCACTGAGAAGCTGTCATAGCCAATGGGCTAATAAATCATGGTGTAGGATTACACATTCCCAGCCAGAGAGTTGGAGTCCAACATTCAGATCACCTAGCAAATTAGTACATAAAATTTTATATTTGTGGTAGACCTACCAAAATAGGTCTACCAGCAGCAACTCTGGTATTGACTTTAGATATGTTTTTAGCTAACCAGCTTGGAAATTTAGTCCCTACTACAGATAATGAAACTATGTGGGCTTATCTCTCAGTCTGTCCCAGATGCGATAAATACAGTCAGAAATAGTAATCCTGGAGTTCTATCACCAGTGAAGATTAAGTTCTCTCTGGGTATGATGTTGTGTCTACTTAGGATATTTACTTTAAGTTAAAACATCTCTAGGATGAAAATGAAAGCAAAGGATGGAAACAAAACTTATAATTGCAAATGTTCTCTTTCTGCGATAATCAGGGATGTTCTGCCATTTACCTTGAAGTTACCTTATGCCATCTTAACAGCCAAGACGGAGGCTCAGCTTGAAGACCTTGCTCAACTGGGATTAAGTAAGTGGGCGCCTCTTCCTGGGGTCCTTCTTGAAATGAATCCATGAGCAGAATTGATGCTAGGCTGACTAATGATGCATCAGAAAAGGATTTTATCCCCTTGGCAAACTCAGCTTTCAGGTCCATGAGCTCCCTGAATCACACCTCCTGAGAGTCTTTTTCCAAGTCAAACAATGAGCCATCTCTTAAAGAAGGGGTCTGAGTTTGCCTGGGAACCCACACATCTCCCGGGCTTCTCCCATCAACCACTACCCTAAATGTTCAAATCCTAATTTAATCTAAACTTCTGGAATGTATCAAGTCATTCCTTTCTGAAGCATCTTGCTGGGGAAAGGCAGTGCTTGACCAATAGGGAAATCCAGCATCCTGCATCTCATGTATGCTGGTTTTATTTTAGAGAAACACACTGGCATTGATGGTATGTCTGTACTTTGAGGAATTTGACACCACAGGCATCCAGAGGAACATCTGCCTCACTTCCCCTCTAGCTGCTTGATTCCAGTCCTTGAGTTCAGGGCCTCATCCCTTACCTGCCCTCTGTCCTTGCGGTAGCTGGCTGGGCAGTCACTCCCCACTTCTGTCTCTGCCATTGTCCCTAAACTCACCACCGTTTTACTGGACCTACGTAACAATGAATCTGGGCATGCGGCTCACCCAGTATACCGCTCTGTCTCTTTGCCCGAGAAATCTATGTGGGTTTGATTTTGACATAAAGAATTTTCCTGCTAGATTGGAAGGGGAAACTCTCAAGATCTTAAGACTTCAGGCTTTAGATAGGTTAACAGCCAGGCTGTACTGTGTGAATGCAAGTTTGGGGTTCTGTAAGTGTAAGTACCAGTATTCCTAGGACCCAAGAAACTATGACACTTGACCCACCATTAAAAGTGCTTGTGTTTCTCTTTTGGCATAATTTTCTCTTATTCTAAAAAATTTGAATAAGGCTTCTAAAACTTAGATGACTTAGAAAGAACTGCTTGGATGTGGCTGAGACCTGCTGGATAGGTGTGTGGTATAAAATTGGGAAAAAGAGCCCTGCTAAAAATACCAGGGCCATTTAAATGTCAATGCTGAAAAGTTGCACTGTTGTCTTGCAATTGAATTGTATACACCTGTGGAAAGAGTTTAAAATACTCCCTGAATTTAAGTATTAATTAGCTAATTTACATTCTTTTCTTATGCTAAGAGGTATTTGAAATCATGTATTTTACCTTTGTACTATATCTCTGCTTAGGTACTAAACTTTCATCAAAAATAAAGGATCTGTGTTTAGATTCCATTACATTTTCAGTTGAAAAGTAGAGTCACATACCCAAGATTCAAACCCACTTAAATCTTTTCCAGTAACTGAACTAAGAGTCATTTCTTAAATTTAAACTGATCACCTTAAAATGAAACCTGAATTGAATTTCTTCAGTGCACGAGTTGGATTTTCACTGCCCAGTTGCCACCGGTTATCCTGTTAAACAGCGCAAAACTAGAGCAAAAGGAAGAAAAATAGGGGCAGTGAGAATCCCATAGCAGCCATACCTGCTAAGTAGAGATATATACAGGATACACAAGGCAGGGTAAGGACTCACAGTGTCAGCCACTCCCCAGCCCCCTGATCTGCCAATGTCTGTCCATGGAAAGAAACACATTTTAAGCAAACACACAAGGCAGAGCTGAAGAGAACATAGCCTATTCCAAATGGAAATGACAACAGACATCTGTCACCACTACTGCCTCCCTAGATGTGCATGGAAAACTGAGGCCCTTCTGTACAAGGACATACGGGAAGTACAGATGCAATGAGCAATGTGTACTGATCCGAAAAGTGTTGAATGTGTGTGGTTATGGTGAGGAGATTATAGGATGGGAAGAATGGACTACAAACCACAAAGATAAATGGTTGAACTTGCACTTAACATTTGCATAAGTTTGCTGTTTTTTTTTTTTTTTCCTGAGGAGCAGCAGAAATGTATGTTCTCTCCATTTGGGGTTTTAATGCTGAGTGTGTAAAACCCCAAGCAAATTACGCAACATCCCCGGAGCCCAGCTGCCAGTTTTGCCCATTAAAGGGAAACTTAGGAACTCTCCTGTGAAGGGCAGCTCAGGAGAACTTGATTGGAAAGAGTCCTGTTGCTTTGAGGGTGGACTGGGTTTTAGTGAAGCAAGTTAGGGAGCCTCTGTGGCCTTCTCAACGTGTACTATAGTGATTTTTTTCCCCCTCCCCTGTGAAAAGGCTGGGCTGGTATTGTATGTTGGCCAAGCCATTTCTCAAGGGCTTTAGAGGTGAAAATCCCTGGAGCCTTTCTGTGAACCCACAGCTGGGTCTGGCAGTGTTTCTTCCCTTTCCAGTAAGGGAACGCAGTTAAAGCAGGAAAAAAAAAAAAAGAGAGAGAGAGAAGAAAGAAAGAAAAACATCACCCAAGTGTAGCATAGCACCTCCCCCTCCAAAGAGGTGTGTTGTCATGCAGTGTATTTTTTAATTTGTGCAGGAATGGCCTGAGTGTACTGTATTTACATTCTTGTGTTCACTGATAATGACTTTCAGATTTTTGGAGCTCTCCAGCTGACAACAAACCCCCAAACCCTCCACCTCCCCATAGGCCTCTCTCCTCAGACGGTGTTTGTCCTGCCTCGCGTCAGCTCTGCCTTATAAATGGAGTGCATTCTATAAAAACCAGGACGCCTTCGGAGCTGGAGTGCAGCCAGACCAACGGAGCCCTGTGTTTTATTAATCCTCTTTTCTTGAAAGTGCACAGCCAGGACCTCAGTGGAGGCCTGAAACGGCCCGGCACAAGGACTCCCAACGCGAATGGCACCGAGCGGCCTCGGTCCCCCCCACCCAGGCCCCCGCCACCCGCTATTAATAGTCTGCACACAAGCCCTCAGCTGTCCAGGACTGCAACCCGGGCGAGCATGCCAGAAACAGTCAACCATAACAAACATGGGAACGTAGCTCCGCTTGGAACTAAACCAACCCCCATCCCTCCACCCCGGCTGAAGAAGCAGGCTTCTTTTCTAGAAGCAGAAGGCAGCGCAAAGACCTTGACCAGCAGGCGGCCTCTTCCCAGCCCCGGGCAGGAGACGGAGCCCGAGCCAGGCACTGCTGGCAGCCCAGGTGGAGCTTCGCCTGAGGAGGCCCCAGGGGATTGCACAAGGGCCCAGCCTGCCGGCTCTGAATCACGGCCGCCTCCGTGGCATGGAGGCAGACAGAGACTGAGCGACATGAGTATTTCCACTTCCTCCTCCGACTCGCTGGAGTTTGACCGCAGCATGCCCCTGTTTGGCTACGAGGCAGACACCAATAGCAGCCTGGAGGACTACGAAGGCGAGAGTGACCAGGAGACCATGGCCCCCCCCATCAAGTCCAAGAAGAAGAGGAACAGCTCTTTCGTGCTGCCCAAGCTGGTCAAGTCCCAGCTCCGCAAGATGAGTGGGGTGTTCAGCTCCTTCATGACCCCGGAGAAGCGCATGGTCAGGAGAATCGCGGAGCTGTCCCGGGACAAGTGCACCTACTTCGGCTGCCTGGTGCAGGACTATGTGAGCTTTCTGCAGGAGAACAAGGAGTGCCATGTGTCCAGCACGGATATGCTGCAGACCATCCGGCAGTTCATGACCCAGGTGAAGAACTATTTGTCTCAGAGTTCAGAGCTGGACCCTCCCATTGAGTCACTGATCCCCGAGGATCAAATAGGTAAGTGTGCGTTTTGCCTTTATTTATATATATTTGAATACTGTAGCCTTGTCAGACAGTGCACCCTGTGTGGGTTATTTAGGCTGTTTCTCCACTGTTCAAAACAGCAATGCTTCCCACTCTCCTGTTTGATTTGAGTGGAAACAGCTTCTTAGAGCAAAATCCACCTTATGCCTGGCTCAACTGCCACAAGCCAGGCTTAGAAGTTTTGGGAACTGATGGGAACCAAAGCATGATTCTATTTGGGGATCGAGTTTGCCTTCTGAGAGGCAATTTGTCTGTCTGATTTTGCACTGTGTGTGTGTGTGTGCCCTGAAAGCATCTCTGTAGGGTGTGCTTGCCTAGAAAGGCCACTGTCTTCTGACAGGGGGTGGGGGGGGTTGGGGGTGAGGGTGTTGTACCACTTTGAGGTACATTTGCACAGACATGTGCAGAAGTCACTGGTGTACCCCTGGGTGCTTTTCCACAGTGAACACACTGCTACTCAATTAGTAGAACAGGAACAGCATCCAGAAGTCCTGGGGTCCCCTGGCCTGTCCCCTTCTCCTTTAAGAAAAACTGCCCTGCAGCCTGCTAATCCCACAGAATTTAGGAAGAGGTTGAATGTTTGGAGAGGAAGAAGAAGGGGGGCGGGGGGGAAGAGAGAGGGAAAAGAAAGAAAAACCAAGTTTATTTTGTGGACCTTTAAAATCAGTACTATAGTTTGGAAGTCACATGGAAGGTGTTTTCTCCAAAGTGAAGGGTAAATACTTTCTCTATAACCTCATTAAAGGCTGAATTGTTGTGAATAGTTACTGTGGCCAAAGAAAATGTGAATTTGGCAAGCAGTCTTTTTTTTTCCAGGGCGAGAGTGTTGAAGGGACTTTTTTTTTTTTTCTCCAAAAGGTTGACTCTAAAAAACTAATTTCAGAGACCTCACTCACTGGTCAGCAGTAGCAAAAGGAGTTATCAAACATTTTTAGGCATTTCTTAAAGCTCAACCTAATTTCTTCTTTCTGATTGGGTCTGTTTGGCAAAGTAGTAAACAGTGTGTGGTAGAGGGTGGTGTCTCTCTCTCCTTTAGAAGAGTTTCTGCAGCTCTTTGATTTTTCTCACAAAGGAATCAAAGCCTTGTTTGTTTTCTTGTGGTTTGAGCCTGGTTTTATGGGGCGTGGTTAGAGAGGGGAGTTGCTGGAGAGAGGGGTTAGAAGGAATGTGCCCTTGGGATGTGCATTAGAATTTTAAAAGGTTTCTAAGAGAAACTGGATGGTAGCAATGGCCACCTCTTTCCGCATCCCGCCCGAGTCCCCCTCTCAGCGGAGACTCGCTCAGACTTGATATAAACAAGAACCCCAAACCAACAAGAGAAACTTCCGCTCGAGGCCAGGGTGGGGAGAGTGAGGCTGGCGCTGATGTCAAGCCTGAGCTATGTGGTGGGAGCACCAGCCGGCCCACGGAGATGGGCTCCAGGGGACTAGTGTCGGAACTTTCTTTCTTGCCCATGTTGTGATGTCAGGGCACCAAAGTACAGGTCCCCGGGGCCCATTCTGCCAAATTCTTTGGAAGTGAAGTTCAGATACAGTAATTGCTCTTAGAGCATGAGGGCTCATATTTTCCAAAAACATGTACTTTGCCACACAGGGAAACTGCAGGTTTTTAATGTAAAATCTAAGGTCATAACAAGAAGGGAGGCTGACATCTATGAAGCCCTTCATTTGAGCCAGGCCAGGCAGCCTGCCCAGGTGATCTCAGTGGGTCCTGGTCTCACCCCATGAAGCAGACTTCCCATGAGCAGTGGAGAAAGGCAGCGTTTTGCCTAGTGACATTGTTGGTCCCAAAGGCATACCAATTAGTCACTAGCAAATGCAGCATTTAAACTTCTTTATCAATCTAAGTCTCTGTTTTTTAATCTTATTTCTCTCAGTTGTTTGCATTCATATGTTCTCATCAGAAACTTAAGGAATTGGGATAGTGGGCTAACCCTCTGTGGGCAATCTCAGACTAAAGCCCGCTGGGGAGGTGTAGGAGTAGCCTACATTTTAGTTGTTTATTGTTTTTTAACTTTTGCATTAAAGCAGGCTCTTCATATCTGTTGCTTCCCTAGTGAAATCATCTTTCAGTTTTAAAAGTGCAGTGAAAGTGCTGGGCTTTTGTAATTAAGAGGAAGGTGAACCAGAGCAGAGGTTAACCTGAGGAATTTATCACGAACCTAATCGGAAGGAGAGAGGTGGCCCTAAATATTAGACAATTATCTCTTTAAGTGTGCAAATTGCTAGATTAAGACTCTGATAAGAAAATTAATTTAGTCTAGTTATCTGTGTTTTGCATATTCCAAATGAAAGACTCACTGGTTTCCTAAGGACTTAGTAATGCAGTGATTTTTTTTTTAGACCTTGTCACCAGCTCTAGGGTTGGTACCTTTATGCAGGTACTATTGCTCATGTTTTTCCAATTCAGGAATGGAGGCCAAGGCATGTGGAGTGACTTGCAGTGGGATATATGACTGCAAGTACAGGAGCTTGGGATCATCCCCTTGTGTGCAGACTGAGGGGCACCGTGGGATCCCCAAATGCTCCTACTCTAAAAGGTCCTGCTATCCTTGCACACAAAGACAAAGCATTAGTGTGAGAGAACTTTAACAGGATTCATATGCATAGGGAAGAGGAAAAAAGATAACAGTTTCCAAAAAAATAAATACCCAAATTACCCATCTCCTGGGGTCAATGTCTAACCAAACGGGGTTGGCCTAAAGTGGGGCTCCAAGATCTGAAAAATTTCCCAAACCTTCTGGTAGGGAACCATAGGAAAGGAGTGAAAGGGGCCAAGCAGTTCTGGGATGAACGGAGCAAAATCAAAGTACAAATCAAGATAATGGCTGCCTCTTAAAGTGTCTCTTACCTACAAGTCTCTTTCAAGTGTCTCTACATGTCTCTCTTCCACATGTCTCCTACATGTCTCCCAAGCCCCTGGTGCATGTCCAAAGCTGATAAGCAAGCTCCTTTCTTCTTCACATATTTCTCTTGAACCCATCTGCCTTCTGTGTTACATCACCCAACAACTCAGTTCAGCCCTGTAGTTCCAGGTCAAAACCCAGATCTATCTCTCTTGTTATCGCTGTCATCTACTCACTCCCACCACATTTAAATTCCTGGGAGGATATAATTCACTTTGAATGATGTCCCCAGAATCCCAACCCTCAAGTTTGTTCCAAACAAGTGTGTGTTAATGCTCATAAGACTTTTTAATAATGCCACTCAGGGTTCTCTGCTTTAGAATAATCTAGTCCTGCCTTCCTTTCTCACACCTTTTGAGAGAGATTGCTCTGAATTAGGAGACAGGCATTGAAATCTAAAGCCCAGATTTACAGAAATCAAGAAAGTTGGGGGAGATATTTCATTGGTTTTAACTTATGTAGAATTAGACTCAATATTCACATATGAAAAATGACCATTGAATGCATGTATGTTCCTTTAGTATACAGAAATAATGCTAGTCTGTCTTCTTCAGTGAGTGGTTCTTCAGTTGCCTCGAGTAAAGCCAATGAAAGAAAAACAAATAGTTCTTACCCATTGACACTTGACCCGTTGCTGTTGTTACAACCCTTTAGATCAGTGTGTTCCAGGCTAGTATAGAATGAAGCAGAGTTGTCTCAAAAATGAAAAATTGCCCTTCTCTATAGCTTTGTCTTGTTGTGAAGAATTTGTATTCTATTTAGACTACTGTTTAAAGCACATTCATCCAAAAGCCCTACTATTTAGAGGTTCTTAAATAAATATTGGTAGACTGACTACAGTGTGACTCTCCTATTGGGCAATGAAACTGGTGATGGTAAGATACCACAAGTTCCCATGTGAGCCATCTCTATTCAGCCCAGGGCCACATACTGTGTTTCACTTATGGATAGCTCTCTCTCCATCCTTTACCCCAAAGAGGTACATGGAAGACAAAAAAGTGTTTTATGGGACAGGGTGTGTGACACCACTCATTATTCCAACATAGTTCCTCATTGATAAATTTGCAGATCTTACTACTCTGGCTTCAGTCTTTTTTAATCAATAGGAAAACTTAGTCCAAGAATTCTGGTCATGAAATTTCAAATTTGCAGAATTTATTGCATTTTTGTGGCTACTGCTTTGATTTTATTGAAGCAAAAGAATTTTTTATTTCTGATTTGATACTAATCTTAGGAAATCCCTCGATTTTCAAGCTGAACAAAATTTCTCCAACTCCAAAAATGCTAGTATCTTCAAATTTTCTGCTTCATTCAAGCCATTCATCACAGACTATCAACAATACAAAAAAAAAAATTGAACTTTCAAAGTAGTTTTACAAAGTCAATAGTGAAAAACAGGATAGTGTTGTATTGTTTTCTCTAATTACTCTTTATGCGAGTGTATTTTTTTCTCTGAAAAGTATTTTAATTTTGTGAAGGAAAGGCATCTTTAAACGCAATTCCCACATACTTGAGAGATTGTCAATTTACATGTGTATGTTTTTTAAAAAGAGAAATGATACTGAAATGTG